GTGTTACCAAACATTAATTACATATTCCACATTAAGGCTCTGTGTCATTATATTTATCTTTGAACTATTGGCATACAGCCATACACAATGGGGACGGGGATGAAAGAAGCCAGCAGATGCTTTTCGACCTCCTATTGCATACAAACAGGCATTGATTGCGCTGGATAATGCTGACAAAGCAGCATTGTTGTTTGGGAGTGATGTTGATCTTCTGGTGCTTCTCTATCCATTTGTGTATGTTTCCAGAAAGATTGTACTTCCTTACCAAACTGCTGATCGTCTATATATAGCATTTCGTTGTTACGGCAAAGCAAGAGTTTTCTGGGTTGCTCTTTTCTCCATGCCATGACTGGTTGTGACACTACATCATGGCCTTGTACAGATTTGGGAAAGAAAAACATGTCACGTTGTTCACAAAACGACAGGACTTGCAATAACTTGTCAAAGTGCCCCATAATCAATTATCCACAAAGGATATGTCTGCGTTTGCAGGAAAGCAGTTGTATGGAGCAACTCCAAGTCTCTTAAACTCTGAAGAATGAGCATTGCCAGATATCATTGTTTCACAAGCATGCTGCTGCCAAGTGTCCCATTCATTACACAATGGAAGACGTCTGCCTCAGCTACCTACATCGGTAGTGGCGAGAGAAACATTGTCTGGGGTCTATATCTACAAGTGCAGCAATGGCTTGGAAGAAGTCTTCCACCAAAATGGATGGGGATGGGTAAACTGTTTTAGTGGCCAGTCTTTAAGCCAGTAACAACCCGTGACTCCCCAGCACCAGACATTGATCAACATGATCAAAATGCAATTGGCAAAACAGGTTGTGAGAGCGTATGTGTGGGTGCAGAAAGGCAGGATTGAAATGTCTTCATGTCTATGTGGATATTGTCATGCTGTAGCTGCAGCAATTCAAACACCGTATACCTTGCAGAGGAGGATGAAGAAAATCATGAACTACCATCTGATGAAACATCTCATGAATTCGCACTTGTACACGCCATCATTGATGAGAGTGAAGTTGAAGATGAGCCACAATTTCCAACTTCCTACAGACTGACCAGGAAAAGAAAACTATCTTTTTAGACTGACTGACTGACTGAGTTTAGTTTTACGCCGCTTTTAGCAATTTTCCAGCAATATCACGGCGGGGGACACCAGAAATGGGCGTAACACATTGTGCCCATGTGGGGAATCGAACCCGGGCCTTCGGCGTGACGAGCCAACGCTTTAACCACTAGGCTACCCCACCGCCCCCTATCTTTTTAGATGTTTAATCATACGTGTTTGAAGATGCCCTGTTACATAATCTGTAAATAGTGTTTGATAGTCTTGGTATTCTGCAGAATATCAGTTATTTTTAGGTACTGTCAGGTTGAGTTATGATATTTTCTTGAAATTGTGAGTATCCAAGGGCAATAACTCCTTTTAAAGCATGGAAATGGTTACTTAAATGTGTTTTTATGAAGTTATAAAATTTCACTTGCTTGATTTTTGGGTGTAAAACATCAAATTATTGTGCTATTGTTGGGCCTATTTATTGAGTTTTCATTGACTTTTTAAAATGCTAAAAGGTACCAAATTTTCAGTTTCAGTCAAAACGTTAAAATATGATTTTATTGGGTTATATTTGGTGGTTTGTGGTGAAAAGACATTGAACAATACTTGCCAGGTCTTGGACATATCTAAGCCTTTATCATTATACCTATAGGTCTTTGTGTCACCAAAGGGTAAAAATACATATAACTTCTATTTTAGTAATACAAAAAGGGCCACAGGAATTTTTCTTTCTGAAATAATAGTCAACAATCTTGAGATATATTCACTCAGTTGTCAAACATGTGCGTTATTATATGTACAGAAATAGAGAAGTGACTATTTTATCAAGCACAATTGGACTTCTAGGTTATCAAAAGGTTGCATAGGGTAAGCCATGCTTTTGCACGTGCACCATGGATTTAGCTCAAGTGGGATTTTAGGGGACTTTTAGCATGATGTTATGTAGGAAGGTTTTGTAGAACATATCTGCCAGGATTTCATTTCTTCATCACCTTTTTCCGACCTTTTGCTAATTTAACTGGCCTTTATAATGTTGTAACATAGACATGAATGCCGGTGGATCGGGGCCCAGAAGTGTGGTGGTCATATTTCAATAATACGTTTCGAATTTACATCTGAAGTCAAGAGTCTTTATATATACGGAGTGATAGATATTCCACTCGGAAATATTCAGAAGTACTCAGCAGCCTTCTCTGTTCTCTCTGGCGGAGTAATCAGCTCTGTCTAGTTAATTGTCATAGCGACGTATTAATCAGGACCACGCCCAAACGAGCCCAATACGGTTCCCCCCAAAAAGCTACGTCAGTAGGAACAAGAGGCTCAGGTCGGTATTTCCGTAATATTCTCACAACCACTAAAACAGTTGACGGCCATTACAGGTGAAATTTCTCCCATTTCAGATTCCCACATTTAGATACGAGGGGTTCAGCCATTGCCTTCATCTATGTTGCCTAGTTACATCGACGGGAACAACTCACTGTACTACCTTAAAAGATCGTGGTCAACGGGTCGCAAGCGAATGTTCGAATGACGTCATGAAATTATCAACAACTCGTTCATCATTGTTATTAGCATTTTATTGTGTAGCTCTTATAATATTTACACACAAACCTGTACACACACAATATAGCAAATATTATGACAATATCGAGTAAATCCAATATGTATGTAAACGTAAGCATTATATGTACTCAATACAGCGCTATATCAGCAGAGGAGAGGTGAGAGTGAGTTAACGTTTACGCCGCACTCGCTTTCAATATTCAGCTATATGGCGGCGGTCTGTAAATAATCGAGTCTGGACCAGACAATCCAGTGATCAACAGCATGAGCATCGATCTTCGCACTTGGGAACCGATGACATGTGTCAACCAAGCCAGCGAGCCTGACGACCTGATCCCGTTAGTCGCCTCTTACGACAAGCATTGGGTTACTGAAGACCTCATTCTAACCCGGACCTTCACGGGTCCTATCAATAAGGAATCCCCAATACTGTGTGACATGCTGGCGGTGTAGGAGTATGTAAACAATCGCGGCAGGATACATTGGTGAGTAGGCAAACAGTCAACGTGTGTGATGACTTGACCAGTAGAGGTTGTTCATTGAACAACGAAGCCGAATCTACCTCCCGATGTCAATTTGAGAGGGTCTTGTCAATGACCATTGTGTCTGCAGTAACCTGATCCAAAGTCTGCAAATTACAGACTGAGACACACTGAACATATTTGCCAGTTTGAACCGTGTCAGACACACGTTATCTGTCCATCACTTGTGGACGACCAATTCCGCGTTTGAATATTTCTAGAAACAAGAAAAACAACACGAACATAACACCTACTTACGTGTGTCAAGTACATGACACGTGTCAAATGTACAAGATTTAGAAACAAGACAAACACCATGAGTGGGAAAACATCTTAGCGAAAGACATGAAATTGGCACAAAGGAAACAACTCACTTCAGTATGAAACTTGAAGCTGCCTGTGAGTAACAACCTAAAAAATAATACAACAAAAGCATATGTTTCAAAACTTCCTAAACGTTTTGTCAACAAGTAAGATTCAGCACATATCTGAGCCTATTTACAGTAAACCTTACAGTATCGTGCTTTGATAATTTGATCGGAGAGGCTTTAGGTAAATAGTACTGTGAAAATGGTAACTGCAAAGCCCTAACCTTCAAACCAATATGTTTGCCAAGCCATGAGGACATAGAGGCGAAATTGATTTGGAAACTACTTCACAAAACAATTTAGGAGATAGTTTCTAGCTTTAGTCACAGTGCCGAGAGGATTTGGAGTTTATGTGATTTGCTTCCTGATCCTGATACGTTTTTCGTTAGATTCTGGCCTCGTGTTCAGTTATGACTGAGGCAAACTATTGTGGAATAAAAGATTATTCTAATGCTAGACAGAACGATTACAGATGCACTACACAGATTTTTAGGCTTGGATTCTGTCTCTCTATCTAAATATGTGTGTTTACAATTATTATTCGCATCTTATTCGAGTGCGTAGATAAGTACAAATATAACTGACAGTAAGTGTTGATACTCTGAACACATTAAGGAGCATGTACCTGCAAGCATACCAGGTTTTATCACAGCATCAACAGACCCTACGTCATTACAAAGCCCTGTCATCTGATCACAAGCTACACAATTCCCACTGCATGTGTGCTGACAGTGACTCCCGTATGCCCCGTCCTTACAGCCACGACTACAGATACCGTCTTCGCCACATACACCATCCAAACACCACCCACAAGCCTCATCACATCTCTCTCCGAACCATCCATCAGTACAGGCTGAACACCGTCCATGGCGGTCACACACATTGTCTCTACAATGCAGACATTTCTTGTGGCAGTGTTTCCCATAGTACCCTGGAACACAGCCCTCCACGCACGATCCACCATAACTGTAACACAGGGAAGACTTGCAGGAGATACTACACGGGGTGTTACAGTGTGACCCGTATACACCAGTCTCACATCCTTCCTGACAAACTGCAGTATGTCGATCACAGTGCTTGTGTCCATCTCTTTCTTTAGCACTTCTCGGGGCACATACTACTGCAGTGGTGTCCATGGTAACCAGGCTGACACTGTTCACATACCCAGTCTGTCTGTCACTGCAGCCACTGGTCCAGCAATGTTGACATCTATCTTCGCACTTCTGTCCATAGAAGCCTGCTTCACATCCATGTAGACAGTACCCGTGATGCTGCACTTCCCATCAGACAGTTGTCACATGACATGTTACAGAAGTTCCTGCCCATCTTCCATCACACCACACCATCAAGACATTCTCCTGTGTGTATGTGACAGACTGATGCCTTGCAGTTGGGTGGACATCGTCCATCACAATGTGCCCCGGTCCATCCTCCACCACAAGATTCAGAACAGGCACCTGTATGTCGGTCACAGTGGCCAGCGCCACCTACCGGAAAGCTGGAACATCGTGGTGGACAGGGTGTGTCGCAGTGTCGTCCATAGAACCCTGGCCTACATCTGAAACATTCTCCAGTGGACCTGTCACATCCGTCTCCGTCACAACGTCCTTGGCATGTAGAGCTGCAGTTTGATCCGTGACACCCGGTGTTACATGACTGACATCTGAGACGACCATTGCCATGTCTACACCCAGTGGTGTTACATGAGTCGTGACTTGGGTGCGCTGAAAAAAATTATGTTGTATGTTAAAAATTAGAAGTGTCAGAAAAAATAACCTGTATTGTATTTAGGAAACCATATGAATATGACAAATTTAACTTCCACAAATTTCAGTTTCGTTTCATTTTTAGTCCAATAACCATGGTGACTACAATTCCATTGTATCATTATATACGTGTATTTACCAAGAGAGTGTGTCACAGCAAGCAGGGCAGAGATCAGCACCACAAGCAACAGGATCTGTCCGCCTTTCATTGTTCCAGGGGACACGTGGTCTACTGATGAAAACAGATATAAGGAATAAAAGATAACTGGATTACCTGAAGGGAAAGCAAGTTTGTTTCTTAACAAGCAATAGTGGAGTAAGTGGAGAAGAACGCATGTTCTCTAACTACGTTACAGGTTATAGCAATATCACAGATGTAGACATGCTTTTATGCGTCCAGTGGTAGGTTGTATACAATGTCTGCATGAAGACTTCTTTGAGTCGGAGCACTAAGTACCTACTGTACCTGATAACGCTGTGGAAAAGCAGTACATACTGCTAAAAGGCTTGTAAAAGGAATCCGATGGCAGGGTCTACTCCTGTTCCCATATAGGCACACTGTTACACATGAGTGTAAGTTAGTTTTCCAAAAATAACGTATAGCAAACTATGGAATCCTGGAAGGGACATTGTCGCGTTGTCGCGCTTTGGTTAATTTTGCCTCATATTGCTTGTTTTTGAGAGGGCGACAACGCGACAATACAAAACCCATACAAAAGTTCTGCAGTGAGTCATGATCAATATATCACTGGCCTACTTGTAGTGTGAAGGCTTTATTGTAGATTACACTCGCGACAGGTACCTTGGCCCATATTAATCTATACGACATTCACTGAGCAATTACAGTTACTTAACATTATAAAATATATATGTTTCACCTTATTGCTACCCTTTATAATGAAGTTCTCAAGAACTGTTCTCAATTACAATGACGTCAGAACCGTATGCGTGCGTGCGTGCGTGCCTGTCTGTCTGTCCCTGTCCGCCTGTCTGTCTGCCCACTGTGCCTGTCTAATTGTCTGCGTGCCCACCGTGCCTGTCTCTCTGTGTGCCCAACGCACCCGTCTGTGTGTCCACCGTGCCTGTCTGTCTGTCCTCCGTGCCTGTCTGTGTACCCACCGCGCCTGTCTGTCTGTGTGGCCCCCGTGCCCTCCCTGCATGTCCGTCTGTGTGCCCACCGTGCCTGTCTGTCTGTGTTCCCAACATGCCTGTCTGTGTGCCCACCGTGCATGTCTGTTTTTCCTACGTGCTTGTCTGTCTGTGTGCCCACCGTGCCTGTCTGTCTGTCCTCCGTCCCTGTCTACCTGTCTGTGTGCTCGCCGTCCCTGTCTGCCTGTGTGTCCGCCGTCCCCGTCTGTCTGCCCACCGTGCCTGTCCGTCTGTGTGCCCACCGTGCCTGTATGTCTGTGAGCACACCGTGCCTGTCTGTTTGTCCTTCGTGCCTGTATGTCTGTCTGTGTGCCCACAGTGCCTGTCTGTCTGTCTGACTGTTTGCCCACCTTGTATGTCTGTCGGTGTGCCCACCTTGCATGTCTCTCTGTCCACCGTGCCTGTCTTTTTGTCTGTCTGTGAGCTCACCGTCCCTTTTTGCATGTGTGTCCGCCGTCCCTATCCGCCTGTCTGTCTGCCCGTGTGTCCACCGCGCCTGTCTGTCTGTGTGCCCATCGTGCCTGTCTGTCTGTCTGTCTGTGTGATCGCCGTCCAAGTCTGCCTGTGTGTCCGACGTCCCTGTGCGCCTGTCTGTCTGCCCGTGTGTCCACCGTGCCTGTCTGTCTGTGTGCCTGACTGTGTGCCCACCGTGACTGTCTGTCTGTCTGTGTGCCCACCTTGCATGTCTGTCTGTGTGCCCACCTTGCATGTCTGTCTGTGTGCCCGCCTTGCATGTATGTCTGTGTGCCCACCTTGCATGTCTGTCTGTCTGCCGTGTCTGTCTGTCTGTGTGGCCGCCTTGCCTGTTGGTCTTTCTGTATGCCAACATTGCCTGTCTGTCTGTATGTATGTCTGTCTGTGTGCCCGCCTTGCCTGTCTGTCTGTGTGTGTGCCCACCGTGCCTGTCTGTCTGTCTGCTGTGCCTCTCTGTCTGTGGGACAGTCGTGTCTGTCTGTCTGTGTGACCGCCGTGCCTGTCTGTCTATGTGTTCGCCGTACCTCTCTGTGTGTCCGCCGTGCCTTTATGTCTGTGCGTCCTTCGTGATTGTCTGTCTGTGTGCCCGCCCTGTCTGTCCGTCTGTGTGCCCGCCTTGCCTGCCAGCTGTCTGTGTTCCCGTCTTGCCTGCCAGTCTGTCTGTGTGCCAGCCCTGTCTGTCTGTCTGTCTGTGTGCCCGCCTTGCCTGCCAGTCTGTCTGTATGCCCGCCCTGTCTGTCTGTCTGTGTGCCCGCCTTGCCTGCCAGCTGTCTGTGTTCCCGTCTTGCCTGCCAGTCTGTCTGTATACCCGCCCTGTCTGTCTGTCTGTCTGTGTGCCCGCCTTGCCTGCCAGCTGTCTGTGTGCCTGCCCTGTTTGTCTGCCCGCCTTGCCTGTCTGTGTGCCCGCCTTGCCTGTTTGTCTGTGTGGCAACCGTGCCTGTATGTCTGTCTATGCGCCTGCCGTGCCTGCCTATCTGTCGTCTGTGTGCCCGCCTTGCTCTGGTTTGTCTGCCTGTGTGCCCTGTGCCTGTCCGTCTACCGTGCCCATGTGCTTGTGTCTGTCTGTGTGCCCGCTCGTCCCTGCCAGCTGTCTGTTTGCCCGCCCTGTCTGTGTGCCCGCCTTCCCTGCCAGTCTGTCTTTGTGCCCGCCTTGCATGTTTGTCTGTGTGGCAACCGTGCCTGCCTGTCTGTCTATGTGTCCGCCGTGCCTGCCTATCTGTCTGTGGGCCCGCCTTGCCTGTTTGACTGTGTGGCAACCGTGTCTGTATGTCTGTCTGTCTGTGTGCCCGTCTTTCCTGCCAGCTGTCTGTGTGCCCGCCCTGTCTGTCTGTCCGCCCACCTTGCCTGTCTGTGTGCCCGCCTTCCCTGCCAGTCTGTCTGTGTGCCCGCCTTACATGTTTGTCTGTGTGGTAACCGTGCCTGCCTGTCTGTCTATGTGTCCGCCGTGCCTGCCTATCTGTCTGTGGGCCCGCCTTGCCTGTTTGACTGTGTGGCAACCGTGTCTGTATGTCTGTCTGTCTGTCTGTGTGCCTGTCTTGCCTGCCAGCTGTCTGTGTGCCCGCCCTGTCTGTCTGTCTGCCCGCCTTGCCTGTCTGTGTGCCCGCCTTCCCTGCCAGTCTGTATGTGTGCCCGCCTTGCCTGTCTGTCTGTGTGCCAACCGTGCCTGTCTGTCTGTGTGCCCGCCGTACCTGCCGGTCTGTCTGTGTGCCTGCCGTGTCTGCCTGTCTGTCTGTGTGCTCACCGCCCCTCTCTGTCTGTGTGCCCACCGTGCCTATCTGTGTGCCTGTGTTGCCGCCGTGCCTGCTTGTCTGTCTGTGTGCCCACCTTGCCTGTCTGTCTGTGTGCCCACATTGCCTGTATGTCTGTCTGTGTGAGCCGCCGTGCCTGCCTGTCTGTCTGTGTGCCCGCCTTGCCTGTCTATTTGTCTGCCCGCCGTGCCTGTCTGTCTGTCTGTCTGTCTGTCGGTGTGCCAAACGTGCCTGCCTGTCTGTCTGTGTGCCCGCCTTGCCTGTCTATTTGTCTGCCCGCCGTGCCTGTCTATCTGTCTGCCCGCCGTGCCTGTTTATCTGTCTGTGTGCCCGCATTGCCTGTCTGTCTGTCTGTCTGTGTGCCAACCGTGTCTGCCTGTCTGTCTGTTAGTCTGCTGTGCCTGTCTGTCAGTATATGTCTCTGTTCGCAGGGGTAGGAGTTGGGTTTGAGGAAGAGTCTACCGATAAACCTACATATAAAAAACACAGCTCGGTATGTAAAGCAGAAGCCAGAAGTCGACGTGAAACCCCTAAATTGACTGATTGTGAGACATTATTGCTTGAATGTAACAAAATTGTGTAAAATGGGATAAACAGAAGATATTAATACAAACTTTGATTAAAATTATCATACACAATGTAAAGCTGTGGTAGTTTATCTCATAGCATACTAATTTAATTAACTGATAAAAGATTACAATATTGAATATTTCTCACCAGTAAAGAATAGTCCTCCTACCACGAGCGCTCATGTACATGTATAAGGCAAGTAAGATAACGGGTATACAAAAGTGGATTAAAGTGCTTTTCAGCAAGACAGCCTTAATAGCACTTGTGATATATATGCCAGGGAAACTACCTGATCAGCTCACTTGCGGTTATATCGATCTACAAACACACCTGACGTCCCGGTGAAGTTCACCCGGGTACAAAACGCACCGGTTTCGGCACCCACACATTACAACCCTCTATGCAAACTAAATCATACAGACTCCAAGACATTTTATTCTAACAGACTCAGTCAGCGGGCAAGAAGCAAGTACACACTCGTGTATTATTTATCATTATTATTATTTATTGCTAAAATCATTCTTCCGGACTACTTGTTTTCTCCCCTCTTGTTATCAATGTGTCAGCCTAGTGACAGCCTACATGTTATAACAATTAACCGACGTCAAGGGCAATCAGATAAAGGAGTATGGATAAATATATCTCCATAACTTGATGGTTTCCGGGTACAGTGACCGTGACAGAAGTTGTTGACTAACGAGGATACATGAGTCATACTGCAGTGAGTTCTATAAGATTGACATAATCAATATATCACTGGCCTGCTTGAAGGGTGTGTTCA